AACCAGTGGCCAAATCTGCAGGCAGCAGCTCATAGCCGAACAAACAAAGAAAGAAAACAAGTGTCTTTAAGTAAAGAGAAAGCCATCAGATGAAAGAAGAAGGAAAAACATAACCAAAACACTTCATAATCAACATTAATAACCAAAAAGTTTGGCTATAAGACAAAGCTACTTTTACAAAATAAAGCCAGAAAAAGCACTCATGTATTGGCTAAGTTATATGCTAATTCATTTCAAACTTTAAACACACATAACCAAAACCAATCAAATGCATATCAAGGTAAACTAATTGCTATCATGAAAGGCTTTCATTTCTACACATGCCATTTACAAATGTAATTTTATATCATTTAAACAAATCATTACATAGAGAAAGCTGAGGTTAAATACCTATAAACAACAACAAGACCATCAAATAACAGGTGAAAGAAAAGAAGGAAGTTGGCTGAAGCTTAAAAGAACAGAAATCAATACAGCAGCCCAAAATCAAATCAAAACCTCCAAAGCTAAAAACAGCTAACAACAGTAAATCCCCAAGGAAGCCATGAATTTTTACTCTTCAATTCATTTCTCAACTCATGAAGACTAGGAATATCAAGGAGAGATTTTGAGTATTTTTGTTCGAATCCAAAAGAAAAGGAATCAACTCTTTTTAGAGAAAAACAGTAGCTGAACTTCAAGAGTATGTTTTAGTGTTTTTGAAATCTGATGTGTTTTTTAGAAAATTTTTGTGCAGAGAATGATGATGAATGTATGTGAGAGTGAGTTAATGTTTTTCCTTTTATAAAGTGTATAAAAAATGGCATCAAAAGGGAATATTCTAACCTAAAATTCTGAAATTCAGAATAGTACAACATTTTTTCCAGTTGTCTGTCCTCTTTCCCACCTAAATTTCAGCATCTTTTGCTAAAATGGGGCATCTGTCCTATACTAGAACATTCTGATATTTTCTCATTTAGAACTCCCAATTTTACCCTTCTAAATTCTGCTTATTGCAATTTTCAACAATTTTGATCTAAACTCTGATTGCTTGGTTAACCCCCTTAAGTCTGGGCCAATTACCATGGCCAAATGGCCCAACAAAGACCCAAGCCATGGCCAAATGGCTTCAAATAGGCCCAAGTGTGACATTTAACTCAGGCCTAGGCTGAATACCATTAATATCCAGCCATCACATAATCCAAACACTCAAGTAAAAGAAAAAAAAGAAAAATGGTGCAAATCATAAACAAGCATTCAATTAACTAATTAGCTTATTTGAATTACCCTAAAGTGACTAATCGAGCTCATTCTGAATTAACCTAAAGCAAATTGTAATTAACTAGAAATTTAAATATGCTAACGGTGATTTAAACACAATTGATTAATTAAAAGTGAATGAAACTCGCTTGATGATCATTCTAAACTATCATGCAAGCAAAACCTATGGAGAAGAAGAGAAAGAAAGAAAAAAAAATAGAGGAGAACACAGAAACAAAATAAAACAGAAACGAAGAATGGAGGTGAATGATTTACCGGCTGAATTTTAGCAAAATGACCGAGAAAACAAGGCGGAGGACTGGCCAAGCTTCAAGATGCTTCGAAAGGCCCGAAGTTGACCCAAATAGTTACTCTGGTCAAGAGTAACCTAGTTGGGAAAACTTCCAGCCAAAACGAGCAAAACCTCGAGAAAATCCCCAAAAACAGAAAAGGTCAAACCCTAGATCCAAAATTCGACGAGCTTCAAAGGTCATTAGGGGAAATTGTTGGGCGTTTTGGGTTTGGGGAAGCCTGATGATTGCAGGATGTGAACTTGGGTTGGTTTGAGTGAGTTAGGGTTTTTGGGGTTGGTGTTTAGATCTGAAATTAGAGCGATTTGAGAAAGATTTGAAGGAGTTGGTTCAGGAATTTGGAAAGGAGAGAGGAAAGGATTGACTGGTGAAAATTTGGGCTAATTTGGAGGTGTTTAGGGCAGTGATTTAGGGTGGCGCCGCCGGAATGCGATTTCCGGTGGCTAGGGCTTATTTGGAGATGAAGAACTGAAGGAACTCAAGGGTTTGGGGAGGGGGGTCTCGCTCAGACAATTAAATATAAAATCGATGCCAAGTTCACAGCCGTTGGATCATAATACAAGATCAACGGCTGTGAAGAAATAGAGACCAAAACAAGGTCGTTTAGTGGTAGGGGATCCTGGACCGAGTAAGCCGATTTTGGGCTGGGTCTGGGTCGGAGAGAACTTGGGTCTAGCCTGGCCCAATTTCCATTCTAAAAATGGGCTTCTCTTTTTTTTTCTTCAATTTCTCCTATTTTGCTCTTGTTTTCTTTTTCATTTTCCTTTTCTTTTAATTAATTAAAAACCTAAGTTAATTTTCTAAATTAATTTAAATTGTAAAATTAAGCTAATTACCTAATTATAAAAATTACTTGATCCTAAATTAAAAGAGAAAATTCAATAATCTAAAAATTAAAAGGTAAAATGTAAAATGAGCCATTTTATTGTGATTTTCATTTTTAATAAAACAAATAATTAACTAATTAATCCTAAAAATGTAAAAACAAAACCTAAATGCAATGCATGAAATTTTTGATATTTTTCATGATTTTTAATAAAAACTAAACGTGCACAAAAAATACAAACAATTAATAAAATCCTACAAAAATCCTATAAAATGGCAAATAATTGAAAAAAATCTATTTTCTTGGATTTTATAGGAATAATTCATATAGGGCAAAAATCACATGCTCACAGATCCTTGTCATTTTGCAAGGGACCCGATGCTCAATATTAAATATACAAGAACATTCTCTCTGCTTTCTAACATATTCTCTTGATCTCATTGCTTTCATTTATTGCTTATATTCAAGGTGTTCTATTTCTTGTTCTTCATTTATTGCTTATTATTGGTCATAAAGAGCCGTCATTTATTTTCTCATAACTGTTAGTCATCCATCGACTACCCTCGGCAGGACATCAGATTCGACCTCGAGGCCCTGAATAAGCAAGCTCGAGGCCCCGATTATCACCCATTCGGTTTGGTTATCACCTTGTTTTCAAGCTCTTATCTTGTTTCCAAGTCTTTCACTTAGCATCAATTGCCTAACAACTAAAACAAAAATAGATCACATATTTTTAGAACCACAAAATCAAATCTAATTTTAAATACATCGAAGTAAAATCATGCAGTGAAGATGTCATCAACTCAGCCAGGTATATCATAGAAATGCGAGTTGATATGGGGTTCAAATGTGACATTAAAGTCTTTACTTAGCATTGGAATAATGCTTCAGTTTCTTTGCAGTTCGATTACAGGTACACTCTTAAACAAATACGGGCATTTATATTGCTCACTTATACTCCCTTGATTATATTTCTTTACTGACTAGCTCTTTTATTAATTTAAATTGCTTTCACACTTTAATTAGTTGTCTTTGAAAACTATTTCAAATAAACTTTCTTTACACTCATCCAGTTCTTGTTTATACTGATTAATTGTAATATACCTCTTACTTCGTTCTTTCTTCTTTCTTTAATGATCTTGTGTTTTTTTAATTCTTTTTCCTTATTTGATTAGTGCAGCTATTCTTTGTCGCAGGGTGCTCATTGGCGTAATCATTGCTGATTTGTGTTACTTCGTTTTTCCGCTCCTTGTACTTCAGGGGCCCTTGGCAATATAAGTTTTATGTTCTTTTTTAAATAAACTAGTTTGCATTACACGTGTAACCCCAAATGATATAACAAAATTTGCTATCTAAAAGTAGTGATTTCTTCACTGCATATATATATTTTTTCTTTAAAACATTTAGGAGTTATTAGATATAAAAGACACAAATTTAGTACAATGTTACGTATTTCTAAGATATCTGATGGATGATGTGAGGAGTATCTGGTTTTTATTTAGACTTTTGTATGTCTTTTGCATGAATCATCACGTATATCTCTGTTAATTAGTATCCATTTTATTTATTTTTTGCATATTTTCATGTTAGTTTCTGTACAATTATCAACATGAATTTGGTCTTTACTAAATCTTTAAATGTGACTTCTCATCTTCTTCCCTTTTTAAGAGTACCGAATAGGAGAGGACCTACTTTTAGTTTTGCAGGTTTGTATATTAAGGAATAAATAGTTGTTAAAGGGCATAATTGTCTATGAATTTTACATGGGTATTTTAGTCTTTCAAATTCTCACCTTGTGCTTCACAATTATAATATAATATGATAATTAAGTTCTTTCTTAATTTTAAATGTATCTATTGGTGCAACATTGTTATCACTGTCACGGCTCAACTCCCATCGGAGTCGTGACGACGTCTAACATTACTTGCCAAACAAGCCAACAATCATATAATAACTAGGCATTTGGATAAACATGGTTTAATAAACTTAACCATGGGATGAACCCAACTAGTAGCTGAAATAAGAAAAGTGAAAGTTAGTAAAAAAGGGGAATTTCCTTTACACACAGTAAAAGAGGGATATTTAGAAAGCTTGCAAGTGTAGTTCCAGGATTCGAGAATAGAAAAAGTTGACGCCGGTAAAATATCCCTGGGAGCGACGACAACAAACCTCTCCATCCAGCCACGGTTATATCATCATCAACACTGGCGACAATGACATGGTGACCGCATTTGCTGAGTTTGATCATGCCTCCACAGAAAATCTTAGGGGCATAGAGATTGATCATATGAGCAAGAGTAATGGTTTCACCAGCCGGGGAATACAAGAATTGAAGACAAGCCACCTTTTGCCATATTGAAGAGATCCTCTTTTATAACAGGAATGTTGGCCGGACGAATAGAAGAGATGTATTTACCAACTCTGTTTTTGTCATTTTCAGGATAAGAGGATTCCTTTTGAATATGGAGATCCGGACGAATACAAGAATCCCTTGACGCGATTCCCTCAAAACTGGACGATTTGGCAACACTTTCCTCGCTATATGTTTCCAGTGCGGAAGATATGGAGAGGATAGTGAGCAAAGTACCCAATCTTCGAAAGCTAAAATGTGAATTTGCGGATTCATGGGGTTGGGAAAGAATGAAAATGGATTCCCTGTATTAGACTCCTTACATCGACTTGAAACGCTAAAGGTGCACTTCTTCAATTCTCCAAAAATAGGTCCTTCAAGATTAAATTTCCCATTGAATCTCAAGAAACTGACTTTATGCAAATTTTATCTGCCGCCTGCTGAAATTTCAATCATTGCCAAACTTGTCAAACTTGAGATACTTAAACTGCAACAAGTTGTTTTTGAAAGGGAGGAATGGGAAGTGGCAGATGAAGAGTTCCCTAAGCTCAAGTTGTTGAAGCTAGAAAATCTCAAACTCTCACAATGGAGAGCATCTGATGAAGCCTTCCAGAACCTTAGGCGATTGGTTGTAACAAGATGTTTAAAACTCGAAGCAATCCCTCTTTGTTTCGCGGATTTGTGTAGTTTGGAGAGGATTGAGGTAAAGTCATGCAATCAATCTGTTGCTGACTCAGCCATGGATATCCGAAATACACAGGGTGAAGTATATGGGATAGATTATACCAAAGTCTCTATTGAGCTTTGAAGTTATGAGGCTACAGATCTGCAGCCTTAACTTTATTTCCAGTCCAATGGCAGGTACAATCTTAAGCAACTACTGATATTTCTCTTAGTCATTTCTAGTCTGTTGAATATATATATATATATATAGCTCAGTGGCTGCTGCTTAATGCTACTCAGTTTTACTGCGTTGTACTTTTGTATCAGGTGGAACTTGTACCTAATCTTGCGACCTTTTCAAAAAAAAAAATAAAATATGACTTTATTTCTTTTTAACGTTATGGATTGGTTGAACATTGTTGATGGTTCATAAAAAATTTTCGTTACACTATTTTACAAACTAGTCACTCGATATGTGCGCAGGTGTACAGAAAATAATGAAAATTTAAAGATGAGAGTTGCACATATTAACCAATATAAAAAATCGATTATTGTTATAAGAAATCCAATGCATTTGATAGATGTCTATTCAATGAATGGTTTACTTATTATGTACCTAATTAATATTAGGCTTAACATTTGTAACGCATGGATGATTTTTCATCCTATTAAAGGTGTTCTACCTTTTGAATTACAGTACACACTTGAATGAGAAATATTATTACATTATCCCTCACATTTCTTGTCTAATTTCTTGTTTTATATTATTCTATTTGCTCTCAATTACAATACGTTATCAACACGATTCATTATTGTTATCACAAATTCACAATCTTTAGATTAGTTTCACTCATTCAGCTGTCTGGATACCAAAACTTCAGTAGCTGATGCAAAATTGGCACACCATTAGATTCTGTCACCTTGATGCAGTTTTACTGTATTAGAAGCTTGATATTTTGGTATAGTATTCATCTTATAATTGCATTATGAACATAGAATAAGGTATGTCCCTTATTTAGTTTACTTTGATTTGGCTTTTGGGAAACAGTAATATCATTTTGGAACTTTCCTTTATTTACCGGCCTAATGTTTAATCATACGTTGGGTTCTATAAAAGGCATAATACATAATTACCCCTGGGGTTTAATCACTTTTTCAAATGCACCTTTTATCTCTGTGGGGATCCTATGACCCCCAAATGGTTTGGACTCTTTATTTAACCCATATGCATTTGGACTTATATAATTAATCTAATTATATGAGCCCAATAAATTAATTTGAACTAATATATCTTGAATTTAAAATATAATCTAAAATATTATATGGATTTAATTTTAATAAATTTTATATGTCTACATATCTAATTGTAGAAATTCGAAAGCAATTTTTTTTTTTTTGTGTGCGCTTTCTTATGGCTCCAAAAATGGTGGGAAGTGTTTTGCCTTTAATGGCTATTGGCTATTAGTAGGGTGGAAGAAGAAAATGAGTGGATAAGGAGTCAAAATGAGAATGAAGATGGTGGGTCCATCAAAACCTTTTTGTCTTGTTTGTATTATTCCCCACGCGTGTTGGGTTGAACAAATGCACTCTCTATGTCACATCAGCACTGCTGGTGGTATTTATGTGCATCTGGTAAAATGAACATAGAACTAATATTGCCATGGCCCCAGAAGTACAACAAGGAATGGAAAAACGAAGTACACTAATGCACTCAATAACCATCACGTCAGCGACTAATAAGTAACGCCAATCAGCACCTGCGACAAAGAATAGCTGCAGTAATCAAATAAAGTAAAAGAAAAAAAACATAAGATCATTAAAGAAAGAACTAGGTAAGAAGTCTATTAGGGGAGGCACAATTTTGTTGATCCTAGGTAAGATTTTATTACGTTAAAATTTAATAAACTTCTTCCCGTAAATGCAACTGCTATAGGCACATTATTCGATAGGGAATATAGGTATTTGAAAAAGAATCAAGTCTTACCTTTTCAAGTCTTGTTAGATTATTGAGTATATCGACTAGGGTATAATTTCTACTTATAGTATTTTTATTTATAAAAATTATAGTTACTTTTCACGCTTCAGATTATTCAAAACTCTACGGTCGACATTAGTAACAAATCAAAGTTTTTTTTTTTTTTTTGTATTCTATTAAAAAATTATAAACTTTTACTTCAAAATATTCAATATTTTAAAGAATATAATTACTTCTTAGAAGTACTACTAGTAAAAAATGGGGCTTCTAAACTTTGGGGGCCTAAAGCCTTGGGATGCCTTACCCTTGAGCTGGCATTGAAGTCTATTACAATCAATCACTATAAACAAGAACTGGATGCGTGTAAAGAAAGTTTATTTGAAAGAGTTTTCAAGGACAACTAATTAAAGTGTGAAAGCAATTTATTAAATAAATAAATGAGCTAGTCAGTAAAGAAATATAATCAAGGGAGTATAAGTGAACAATACAAATGCCAGTATTTGCTTAAGATTGTACCTGTAATCGTACTGCAAAGAAACTGAAGCATTATTCCAATGCTAAGTAAAGACTTTAAATTCACAATAATTGAAACCCATATCAACTCGCATTTCTGTGATATCCCTGGCTGAGTTGATGACATCTTCACTGCATGATTTTACTTCAATGTATTCCAAATAAGGAATGTCCTCAAAGCAATAAGGGATTGCTTCGAGATGTGAACATCCTCTTAAAACCAATCGCCTAAGGTTATAAAACGCGTCATCTGATGCTCTCCATTGTGAGAGTTCAAGATTTTCTAGCTTCAACAACTTGAGCTTAGGGAACTCTTCATCCGCCACTTCCCATTCCTCCCTTTCAAAAACAACTTGTTGCAGTTTAAGTATCTCAAGGTTGACAAGTTTGGCCATGATTGAAATTTCAGCATGCGGTAGATAAAATTTGCATAATGTCAGTTTCTTGAGATTCAATGGGAAATTTAATCTTGAAGGACCTACTTTTGGAAAATTGAAGAAGTGAACCTTTAGCGTTTCAAGTCGATGTAAGGAGTCTAATACAGGGAATCCATTTTCATTCTTTTCCCAACCCCATGAATCCGCAAATTCACATTTTAGCTTTCGAAGATTGGGTACTTTTCTCACTATTATCTCCATATCTTCCGCACTGGAAACATATGGTGAGGAAAGTGTAGCCAAATCGTAAAGTTTTGAGGGGCTCTCATCAAGGGATTCTTGTGCATCATGCAAGTTAAACAAAGCTCTGTAACTGATGCTTATATGTCTCAAATTAATCAGCCTCCACAAAATATCTGGCAAATGTACCTGCTTTCCTCCAGTTCTTTTGATTATGAAGGTCTGAAGATTGTAAAGATTTTCAATAGATGATGGGATAGAACTCCGAGTAGTTTGAACAGCAAGGTACCTTAGATGATTAAGTTCAGTGGAAAAAGAATCTACAACCACGAACTACAAATCCAACACCCTAAGAAACTTGAAGCTGCCAAAGATGATAGAGGCATGTCCCATTGAAGATAATGTACCATCATTGACCTCCCTGAATAATACTGAACGAGCATGTGAGCATGATGGCCTCCACCCAGCAAGATAATCCCCATTAGAGCAAAATGATAAGCGGCGATGTGAAGGCTTTTCAGAATAAAACTGTGGAGGCTTGGCATCATAATCTCTGGCAATGAAAATTTTAAGTAGGTTAAAGAACAAGAAGAAAAGTCAGAATTAATCAAAACTGAAAGCAGCATAGAAAGAAGTAAAATACCTTTTAAGGCACAGTAGGAAATTATTTTCCTTAGCTTTTGCCAGGCAGAACTCGAGCACTTGGTCGTGCAGACGACATGCTTTTAACTTCTCATTTGATTTCTTCTTAGTGACGATGACGAGCTCTCTTTCAATAAGATCTTCTAGGTAATCTTCTGCAATATCCTCCAAACACTTCTCCTTATCATTTTCTATGAATCCCCCGGCGATCCATAGATTTATTAACTTAGAGACAAAAATCTCCCTGTCTTCTACAAATGCCCCAAAATATAAAAAGCATGGTCTCAGTTTATCAGGTAAATCATTGTAAGCTAGTTTTAGTAAATCCTTTGCGTCAACCTGGATTCCCTCACCAAAACTCAATTCCACTAGCTTCCAGCATTGTTCTGTCTTATCTATCTTTGCTAGAAGACCAGCCACTAAAACAATGCAAATTGGTACTCCTTTACACTTCTTGGCTATTGCTTGCCCCACTTCCCTTAGCTGCTGGGGGCAGATTTGTTCCCCAAATACCTTCCTCTCTAATAAGTGCCAGCTGTCTTTCTCGTCGAACGAATTTAGGTATGCAGGTTTTGTCTTAAGGAGCACAATCTCCCTTACGAGATCTGAGAACCACTCTGTAAGATAAGTAAGAGGAGCATCTCTAACTGCAAAAGAATCAACTATGTACTCAACCTCATATGCCTTATCAACGACTCTTGCCACAAGATGTTGCTGTTCGTCGTGTTTATTGTTGCTTTGTTTTGCAATATTCTTTTGGAAAGATTCAAGCTCCTCATGGACTACTTCAAGCTTGTTCTTCAGAGATAAAACTGAACCAGAATGGCAAGAGATAAGCTCTTTCAAGCTGTCTAGAAGGGAATTGGAAAATCCCAATCCATCATTCTTGGGCAAATAGGATCGCACCCACTTTCGGACTTCCTGATAAATCAGTGTCTTGACATGCTGAATCTTGTCAGAGAGAACTGTCAGTTCTTGTTCCCAATCTTTCTTGCTGCTATCAGGTAACGTGTAGACTGTTGAAGTTTGGCAAAATGCCAAAGTCCCGCATTGGTTGGGAGTTAAGTTTGGGGGGGATTTTTCATCTATAAAAGAAGGCCTAATGTTTAGGATTGAAATACACCTCTCATTTGCCTTCTCATCTGTTT